GCTCTTAACAAGAGGCAGTCCCGATCATTTCTTACACAAGCTACCACTGCTAAATCCTAACTGACTAAATTGTATTTTAGTTTAATATAGTTTGAAACCTAGTAATTTCCATCGAAGTTTACACAATAAAGAACAGCTAGAGGTACGCCCTGTGTGATCGAGGATATTTAGGCTCTTAACAAGACGCAGTACCGATCATTCTTACACAAGCTACCACTGCTAAATCCTAACTGACTAAATTGTATTTTAGTTTAATATAGTTTGAAACCTAGTAATTTCCATCGAAGTTTACACTATAAGATAGCAAAATTATAGATAGCTATTTATTTAGAAGGAATTAAAAAAAAATAATTTGTAGAATTCTCTATACATGTGTTAAAAAGGCGACGCTTTTGGGTAAATATGATTATGTATGTACTATTCTATATAAATACAGACTATATTTATATATATTTAAAACTTGAAAAATAAAACACGTGAAATCAATAAAAGTTACAACTTAACTGACAACTCTAGTATATACAATTTCAGGTATTTTCTATCTCGCTATACTAACCTTAAAACAGATGAGGCCGAGTGTTCAATCTAAATACTAGGTAGACAAATCGTCGATAGGTGGTCGATAAGATGGTCAGCAGGTTGTATGTAGTGCCAATTTGAAAACCTCTTTTAGTTTTCAGGTCCATAACCTGTTATACTATGACCTTGGTCACGATTGATGTTACACTACTGAGAAATAGACCATAATAAGTCCGTTTGAGCTAGAACATGGGCAAAACTGCGGCGTTCGAGCTAGATAACATGGACATGGGAAACGGAGGTCGAGACTCGAGAAGCATTTTCATGTCTAATTTTAAGAAGGCTATGTTGCTGCAGCCATGTAGACGCGGTTGGTCCAAACCTACTAAGTTTTTTATAGAGAAAAACCTTGTCACCTTATCGAAAACCATCCAGGGGCTAAAACCTCACCTTGGATATGTGACGTCATGGTTTATTTATTTTGCGACTGTAGACATAAATAACACGTTGTGAAAAGCTTTCACAATCTAGATAAAAAATACAACAAACCAAGCATCAAATTACGCATACACGCATCTTCTGTAAGCAAATCATCGTGCTATTTACTTGTTAGCAACACTTTCTAATTTGGTCTCACCCGAAAGTGAGAACGCTTAAGTCTACAAACTACGTTCGGATGCTGCTTTACGGCTTAAACTTATAACAACCGCCAGGTAAGTCGTCTTGGGGTTCGTGCTGATTTCTAGTTGCTTTCCTGTGTGTCATTTGCTACTCTGTGGTGTTGAAATGCCGACTTCTCGTATTATAATTCGTCATCGACTATCAGAATAGATATGTCATGGTGCTTTCTCTTGTGTACATGTAAAGATTTTTCTCGTAACAGGTATTACATAATAGTGCGTCTGTACAGTCTGGTGTCTTTCGTTAGCTTTTGCTTCGCTCGTTGATACTTGGGTGGGGATCCATTTTTAAGCACCCACAATAACCCTTTCTTAGTTACGTGATATCGTGCCCATTCGACAAGTTCCCATATGTTTGATACTCAAAACAAGATTCACGGCCAGAGGATATATTGCTGGCTTTGTTCTGTGCCTTATTGTTTCACTTCACAACAACTAAATTCATACCTGTATGTATGTATGCGTATTTTAAAGTGCTATATCTGGATTGTATGTCCAATATGTATCATGCATACACATGCTCGGAGTTGGGTGATTCGACTAGTCGGTATTGTGTATACATTTTTCTTTGCTGCATACCGTAACAACTAGTTTAGTTCGCGATCAATCTTCAACGCCACTGTAGCTTTATGGATGTCGCTGGCATTGAACCTGCTGACCTTGATTCTGCGATCGGGGTTGGGTGCGCGCCCAGGACTTGTGAGATTATAAAAGAACGAGTATATAGAGGTTTGAATTGCCAGACTTAATCGTCCCTTATTATACATACTGGCTACAGTGGTTACACTGGATTTTAATGTGACTCTTATAAGGGGGTTTTTGGGCTGTAATTTTGTGCCTGTGAAGTTGCTATCGTGCTTTCATTAGGTTTTGAATTTTATGGTTATGGCTGTGTTTCACCAGCCAATTTACAAATGTTGTGGTGAACTCTGTCCGATTTTGAAGTGACTGTACGCGTGTATTGGGTACTCTGAATATGGGGGTTGCATAGATTTTTGTTCAAGGGCTTGAGGTCAGAGAAGTTAAGTGTGTAAGAGAAGTTAAGTGTGTAAGCGCTCTCATATCCTATTTTTTTGGGCTCACCAATCAGCCACACCTGTGTAGTTTTTCATATTTTTACGACTTTCTATAAGACAAAATATATCGGGGGTTCAATAAGACTTAAGCGTCCTCAGTATACACATTGACTACATTAAATTTCGTCCAGGGCTGAAACTAATGAGTGTTTTATTTTATATTTTGTTGCATGTTGTGATTTTGTACCAAAGGGGTTTGCTGTAGTTTTGTGCCTGTTGGAGTTGTTATCGTTCCTTTCACCAGGGTATAGTTACGATTGTGTTTCACCAACGTATTTGCAACTGTTGTATGAACTCTGTCCGTTTTTGAAGTGAATGTACACGTCTATATAGGCAATTTGAATGTGACGACTGTTTACATTTCTATTTAAAGGCTTGAGGTTAGAGTAGTCAATATGTAAACGCACTCATCTCTCATTTTCTTAGGCTCACCAGTTAGCCACACATGCATTACTTCGTGCGCTACTTAGCTTTTTATTAACTTAGAAATGTAATTGGCACACTCATTACGTGCATTGCGAATCTAGACCTCCACCCGGTTCAACGATGACGTCTCCAATCGATGGTTTGCTCTTGGCGGCAGAGATAATTGAAAGGGGAGCTGGCGAAAGTAAGGGTTTGCTTGTTTTGTATTTAATTCTATTTACGACGCCTCCGTCACTTTGAACATGTAGATCGTATCCTCTTGTATAGTTCGTAGGTTTCCAATGCCCTAATTGCAATGAGAACTCCTAATGAGCGAGTCAATTATAATGTACTCTTACAGTTGGAGACAATCGGGCACATTTCGAGAGAAGTCGGTATTCAATCTCTTCAATTGATTCTGAATATGATTATGGGCTCCGTCCGACGATGTATAAATCACTCACAGGTATGTCGCGTGCTAAATTTGGTTTGAGTGATTCTGGACATTATTAGCATCCTTAGTAGGTACTTCACACCTCCCATTGGTAGAAAGATACTCTTTTTTCGTTTTTATACATATTTTGCATCATGTCAAGTTCAATGGCGATGTACGACGTCCATCACTATTATCATCTTCTGTCGATACTTGGGGTTAGTATCAAATATTCTATACTCATAATTTACACATCAATAGCAGGATACAAGAGGACAGTGAAAAGTAGGGAAACACATAATCTTCTCGAAAAGAATCGGCGTGCGCAACTAAAATCGTGTTTTAGCTCGTTACAAGCCGCGTTACCCTCGAAGGTGGATCAGAAGTTGTCGACAGTTGCCATTCTCGAACAGGCTGCAGAACACATAGTTCAATTAAGAACAGTACATTATTCAGTAGTAAGTCATTTAATATCTTTTCAGACTCGCAGCTATGCTCATACTGGCTATTTTATGTCTTCTTGTCTGCTTGTTCAATTCTCAAAATTCCAGCAATGACTTGTCCATGTACTGAAACGCCTTGTAACTACATCTTGATGGGAGTACGTAAGTACTATTTTTACCACAATGTGTATTATGTTTTTCAGCTGAGTTCAATCTAGCGGTGGTGTTGTTATCTATCACATGATTCCAATGGGCTCAGATATAAAAAACGAGCGGTGATCGCGCATTCTTGTATGATAATCATTCCTTACTGGATTATCGATCATAACTCAGTATGGTTGTTGTGAATTAATTATTCATTTTTTGGAACTTTCAGCTGCAAGATCTGGAGCTACAACGACAGCATCGACAGCAGCTTGTATCGGCACTAGAGGAGAAGGGTGTGTACGTCAGATTGCCAGAAGACAGGCCTCTTGGTCCACGTCCGGGGGCAAAACGGTATTACAGTCATTCCGATGCAGTGAGTCTTGAACAAATGGAGGGCGTTGATGGCGTCTCCGATCGTCGACTACATCGCTTCAGTATATGCGAGGAACCTGAAATGGACGAAGATTATTGGGATAACACCAATTTCGAACATCGCAATAGTACAGAAGAAGAATTTTGCAATCAGACATCCCCCATCACCATTCCAGCTGCGCAGCCACAGGAAAACACCCGCTATGCGTAAGTTTGATTTCCACTTTCGCGTGCCGTACTATAGTGATTCATGATATACATTATTTGATTTTTTCGAGACGTCAGACTCTGAGCAAATTATGCCTTATGCGCAACTCGGCTTATTGACACGATTTAAAATGCAGCCTTATCTCATCAAGCGCGACCACGCCTAGCCTAACGATGGAGAACACATTTAGCTCTCGAAGTTGGAGCGGGTCAAAATCACAATCACCCCAAATGGAAGAAGCTATCAAAGAGGAGGTGTCGGTACGGAAGGACGATCAAAACTACCATAGAAATGATCATGGCACTGTGAGCGTTAAATCTGAAGGCGACTATTTCATCCCAACTGATATGGCGGAAGCCTAAATTTGCACTTATCACCTGAGGTGAAGCTGCTCTGTGCTGGTGGAATTCAAATAGTCAACAACCTCTCAGTAAAGGGGGAATATGATTCCAGAACTTAGTGGTAAAATATATAGGGGTATGTAAATTATAAAGAGCATATTCGGAGGTCAATACACAAAACTGTATTGAAGTTATCGTGATCGTGTGTACTTATTTCCTTATATTATTGCTAATTCTGTTAGTTGAAGGTGGGTTAAATTGCAAGGAACGCACCATTAGATGCTCACCATACCTTGCGAAAGCAAGTCCCTGAATCGCAATCGCTCCAAAATACACTATATGTACTGCCCAGCATACAGTGTAATGAAGCAATTTCTACAGATCTGCAGCCTGAATCACTCGCATCCTTACCGTCGATGCATACCAAGCATATTTAAAATTAAGACCGCAGTATGATATAACTGATGGAAATAGGTTTCATACTGCATGCAACGCCAACATATACTATGAATGGAATATGAATCCACTCTTTTCCAGATACGCAAAACAAGAAACTACAAATCGGTGCGTGAGACCACAGAAACACCTGCGAAATTGCACCAGGTATAGATAACCTGATCGATCGTTGTCCTTTGACTATAGTGTACAATAGTGACAACGTTTCGACTCAAGATAGAATAGTAAACAATCGGGTCGACAGTTACCTATTGACTATGTATAATATTTAAATGACAGATAGTAAACAATTGGATCGACCATTGTCCTTTGATTATGTACAATAGTGACAACATGTCAACGCAAGGTAGTAAATATTCGCATCGATCAATATAGCCTTTGACTATATACAATAATGTCAATTTTTCAACGCCAGGTAGTGAACAATATACAATAGTGACACAATTTCAACGCTAGGAAGTAAACGGGCAGTAAACAATCGGATTGATCGTTGTTGTTTAACTATGCACTAGTGACAACATTTCAGCGCCAGGCAGTAAACAATCGGGCCGATCAACATACCCTTAAACTATATGCAATAGTATTATTATTTCAGCGCCAGGCAGTAAACAATCGGGCCGATCAATATACCCTTAAACTATTTGCAATAGTATTATTATTTCAGCGCCAGGCAGTAAACAATAGGATCGGTCGTTTTCCATCGACTATGTACAATAGTGACAATATTTCAACACCAGGTAGTAACCAATCAGATCGTTACCCTTTCGACTATATATAATAGTAACAATATTTCAACACCAGGTAGTAAACAATCGAAACAACCGTTGCCCTTTCGACTATGTACAACTTTTATTACCCACTCCGCTGACACCCAGCACCAAAAAAAATCTACTTCACGTAAACAAGCTCACACTCAAAAAGCAGAGTGCTGTTGCCAGGGATTGTTGGGGGAGCTCCACGTGCTCCATAGCCGGAGGATGGTGGGATTCTGAGAATCCTCTTACCTCCGACCTGCATACCCTCGAGACCCTGATCCCAACCTTTAATAACTTCTCCTGCACCTAGTCGAAAACGGAAAGGTTTACCGCCAGTATTTTGATCGAATACTTTGTTGTTGCTGGCAAGACGACCCACGTAACGCATACCAACGTTCTGCGCAAAAATAAAGAAATAGACGATATTAGATATTGTATGACGCATATCGAACCACCTCCGAATGCTCTATCGGCGAGGGTATCAACATTTATACAAGCAATAGCAAATCTTACAACAATCAGAAGGGTCCCAAATTCATCGAACCAGAACAACCCGTCTTATGAATACCTACCTTTCCTTTTTTAGCCATCGCCCCAGTGCCAACCTTCACATCCTCTACGATTGTCCCGCTGGCCAATTTCGTCTGCTTAGGCTTCTTGGATGGCTGCTCTTTGGGCTTCACTGCCTCTTTCAAGGCTTTAGGAGCCTCTTTTTCCTTCTTCACCTTCTTGGCAACCGCTTTAGCAGTCTGCTCCTCAGCTACGCGCTTGGTTGGCAGCTTCTTCTCAGCCGGAATCTCTACCACTTTTGTTGCATCATCCGACTCAGACGAGCCGCCAAGTAATTCAGCCATCAACTCAGAATCGTCTGAGCCTCCATCAGAACCGCTATCATCTTCATCTTCTGAATTCGGGATTAAACCTTGTTCTTTCATAGCCTGTATCATACGGGGATCATACATACTAGGGTCGATCTCCTCGTCATCATTCTCCTCCTCACCATCTGTGAAACCAGTCAAATAGATTCGATTCTTCCCCTTGACAAAAAAGCACAACTCGGTGCCAGTGGCGAATGGGATGGTCAAAGGATACTGTGGCCATTTATCTTTGTTCAGGGTACAGAGCGCCACTTCATCATCCTCTACTCGTGCGTATAAAGTAGTACTACCTGCTTCAGCGTCAGCACCTAGTGCTGCCGAGCATATGTTAAAACCCTCCTCGACGGTTTGCGAATACTTATTTCCTGGCTCACAGACCAAACACCAAAAAGCACCTGACATTTTTAACAAAGATCGTAAGAATCCCTATTCACTCACAATTCAGACTTCCAAGGTTACAATTCTAGATCAGAACGACAGGGGTGAGTACACTTGTATTTAAAAAATATAAGAAATATCGATTGTCATATTTACACTCAAATCGACACACGTTGATCAATGTGTTCCACAGCTATTTACTTCTGTCAGGGCTTGTGGGGGGAGGGGCGGGGAGGGGAAGAAATTGAATTCGAGTAGGCCTAGAAAAGGCCAAGTTATATATATATATTTATGTCATATCTTGTTGGATCAGGGTTTTTAGTGGTTTTTTAGAGTTTACTATTTAGGCCGACCGCACCGGTGGTAAAAATCCGGATTCAAAAATCCGGAGGGAAAAAACGAATTATGTGTGTCTATTGGCCAACTAGATTTTGAATTTATAACGGGTGCGGTACTTTTCAAAAATCGGTTTGTAAAAATAAAATCCAGGCTTCAGCTACTCCAACTTTTGACATATATTTGACATCAAAGTTCAACAATCGGTGGCGTTACGTACAAACTTCATAATTTTCTTTTAAATATGCCGGTGTCAAAAATACGTGACAAAATTTTGAAATTTAAGCCACTCAGAGAAGAGTATATTTATTGTTTCGGATTTTGTTAGACGGATTTATTGATGTTTTTGACAAAATCCGAGGCCTGGATTTTGTCAAAACAGCGTTTAAAATCCACTTTTCAAAAATCGAGACCGGATTTTGTTGCCGGTGCGGTCGGCCTTAGTTGTTGTAAATAAATATTATGCTTTTAGTAAAACCCCCTCCCGGGGCTCCCCCCCCGCCTTTTTGTTTCACAGAGAAGGCTAATAAATATGCGGCACAATGTACTATATTATTTCTATATATATAACTGTATCTGTGAAGTGTGAAGTGTATAATTTAAATAGAGTGCTGTGGTGAGTTTCTTTTTCAGGGGGCTATGTGACACATGAGACCTAAAAGCAGTGAACACGAAGAACTTTTTCTTCTTCAAGTTAAACAACACCAACACACGGACCAATATCCATTACAGTTCTTCGAAGGTGTATCTATAACGACCTGAAGTGTTTGTTGTGAACTAAAGATACCATGGCGTCACAACAAATTATTCACGAGCGAGCGCTTGTGCAGGAGAGACAAATAGTTGCTGCACTTGGTGCCTATAAGCAGTGGCGTCAGATATCTGAAGGGTGTACAGATAATGATACGAGTGACACACCCGAAATCTTGGCCTCGCGCGAACTACACAAGACGAACTTATTAGGCGCTCTTGGTGCTGTCAATTGCGACGTTTTACGTGCAGCCAAGACGTTGAATATGAACGACAGAGAGACTCGGTCTTATAAGGAATTGAATCTTAAAATCGAAAGTGAGATCGAAGACACAAAAACAGATATTAGAGCTTTGCGTGAACAATTGAGAGATGAGAACGTTGTACGCAGAAATAAGTTGGAATACGATGTCCTAGCTGGAATGACTCAGGAGCACCCCTCACGTCAGGAATCTATGAAGTATGAGTGTGTTTTGCGCCAGGTGCATTTGTCTAATGTGAATATGTGTAGTAAGACATTCATATTTCTATGTATGATTGTATTCATGATTATATATATATATATACA